CCTGGAGGCAGCCGCCGCCCTCCCCTGCCGCGGGTCCTCTCGCTGTGCAAGGCCGATCAGTTCGTGCTGATCCGCTGCTCCTTCCCCCACACTTTAATCCCTTCCATCAGCGCCCCTTGACGACCCTGCCCTGGGTCCCACCAAGCCATTCCTCGTCCCCCCACCGAGTCCTCTTGCGCTCCTGCCACCCACTCTCTGGCCAACCCTACGATGGGCTGCTCACTTGACCCCCGCCCCCGGGGAAGCTTTCAGTCTGTTCCTGTCTCTGCATGCACACTCTATTCTCGATCTGAGCTCTCGTGCTACCAAATGTGACGCTGAGTCGAAGCCACCCCACCTTTCCCACTTGGCAAATCTAAGGGCTTTCTCTTTTACCCCTGGGTCCGGCTGGCCAGGATGTCACTTCTGCCTTCCTCCCCTCCAGACAGATCATGGATGGTTCCTTCATCCAGCACAGCGTGAGGGTCCTGCAGGAGCTCAACAAGCAGCGGGAGAAGGGCCAGTACTGCGACGCCACCCTGGCCGTGGGGGGCCTGGTGTTCAAGGCCCACTGGAGCGTCCTCGCCTGCTGCAGCCACTTCTTTGAGAGCCTCTATGGGGTTGGCTCCGGGGGCAGCGTGGTCCTCCCTGCTGGCTTCGCTGAGATTTTTGGCCTCTTGTTGGACTTCTTCTATACTGGCCACCTCGCCCTCACGTCAGGGAACCGCGATCAGGTGCTCCTGGCCGCCAGGGAGCTGTGCGTGCCAGACGCGGTGGAACTGTGCCAGAGCTTCAAGCCCAAAACCTCGGCGGGACAGGCACCAAGTGTCCAGAGTGGGCTCGCCAAACCCGCCCCCCACGATATGAGCAGCCGCCCCGAGGAGCTAGCAGGCATGGAGGAAGAGGAAGCTTCCGGGGCTGTGGGTCAAGTCCCCCGAGACCAGGAGCCCGGCGGCAGCACCAGCCCGCCGAGGCCCCAGCTCGGTCTGCCTGCTCCGGTTGAGAGCCCGCCCCTGCGTGAGACACTCAGGCAGGCCCTGAAGCTTGGTCCCCCAGAGGACAAGGAGCCCGAGGATTGCAAAGTGCCCCCAAGGCCCGTCGAGGCTCAAGGTGCCCAGCTGCAGGGCAGGAGTAATGAGGTACTGGGTGCAGGGTGCTGGGACGGGGGAAGTGGGTGTCGGGGGAAGAGATTGACGCTTTTCTGGCATAAGCTGGACCCCAGGGTAGAATCTGTTACCTGGGTTTAAAACAGGCTTTTGCCAAACACAGGAAGCTGGCCTTGCCCGGCGCCTCAGCTGTCCGCGGCTGCCAGCTTCTTGGCGTGGAGTGGGTGGCATCGGGGTTGCAGGTGTTTCCCCAGGATAGTGGAATCCAGCCACTTGCAGTTCCCACAATAGAGCCCCTGCCTCCCAGTGCGAGGTCCTGATGCGCACCCCCGCCCCCCGGGGTCCTGACGGGAACAGGCACAGGCATAGGGGTGGTCTGGGATGTGCCCGGCTGGGCCTTGGGATGGACCTGGATGGGGCTGGCTGCAGCCACCCAGGGGCCCTGCTGCTTAAAGGGGTGACGTGCCGCCTCCTCCTGCCTCTTCTCTAGTGGGAAGTGGTGGTTCAAGTTGAGGATGACGGGGATGGCGACTGTGTTTCTGAGATGGAGACGGTGCTGACCAGGAGGAAATCGAACGTCCTCAGAAAACCCTGTCCTGCCGAGCCAGCCCTGAGCGCAGGCGCCCTGGCAGCCAAGCCCCCCGAGAAGAGAAAAGGCAGAGCGGTGCCGGTTGAATGCCCCACGTGCCACAAAAAGTTCCTCAGCAAATACTACCTAAAAGTCCACAACAGGTAAACACTCCGTTTCTACTTGCGTCTCCTGTCTGCCATTCCCATGTTGGGGGAGGGGCCTGTGCTCCCCACTTGGGGTCACGTAGGGCCAGCGGCTCCGTCTCAGACCCACATGATGAGGGAGCGAGAACCTAGCCTTGGGTGGGATCCCTTCCTCCCTCCTGTGGGCCCTCAGGTTGGGGAGGGTTTGTGTAGCCTGTCAGCAGCTCCGCCCCCTGTGAACCTTGACCTCCAGCTGGCCCTGCCAAGGGGTGAGGGAAGCCCCTGAGGCCAAGATGGTAACTGGTAGGATTGGTGCTGCCTGGGGTTCTGGGGGATCTAGTCCTGGGGTGTCAGTGGAGCATAAGAGACCGTTTGGCTCAAGCTGTAGTGTCCACTAAGGAAACCGGATGCCACAGGAGCTGTTGTAACGGAAAGTACAAGGGAGCAGTTAAATGCTTTCAGCCCCTCAGCCATGCCAGCCACACTCAGAGCTCAGCCCCGCGTTGGGCGGCACAGGCACGGAGCGTTCCCATCGCTGCTGGGCTTCTCCTGGAGGGTGCTGCTCCAGCTTCTCCAGGGTCCCGGGGACGGCGCCTAGGTGACCTGCCGTCCAGCCCCGCCACTCCCTAGCCCGAGACATCACTGGCCCACCGTGCTGCACTTTCTGGCCAGATCGGGCCACACGGGTTTCCTCAGTGACACTCCGGGAGGCACGGTGACCGGCAGGGTTGGAGGAGGGAGGAGGAAGGGACCTGTTCGCCCTCTGCTTTGGGGCAGTTGCTGCCAGCACAGTCTTCGGGGAAGTCCAGTGTGGGCGACACCCTGGGTGACTGCGTCTGCCTGGTCACTCCCCCGTGTAAGCACTGGCCCATCCCCTGTGGGCTGCAGGGGGTGATGGCCACCTGAGGTCCTTGGGCTGGGGCAGGACACCCTGTGAGGTGACAGAGGACGAGAGGAGCGGGCAGGTTGCAAGAGCTGCCGGTGCCTCTCACAGGCTTCGAGGTGAGCAGTTGCCTTCCAGTAGCGGACGAGCCCGTGCTGGGTGCTCGGATCCTTAGTGAACAAAACTAAGAGGCCTTGGGGACCATGCCTTCCACTGGGGCAGCCCAGACTGCCGCCTGCCAGACGAGTCCCTTCACAAGCGGAGGTGGGAAGTGCCACCGAGAGGAAGGGACAGCAGCGCCAGCCGGGGAGCTCAGGACGGGCCAGTTGTAGTTGGGAAGGAAGATTTGAGCAGCTCCTAGCAGGTGAGGACGCTCACCGAGTGGAAGCTGGGGAGAGCGTTCAGGCTGAGAGAAGAGCCAGAGCAGGGCCATGGGGTGGGGTGGAACGGTGGGTTGGCGGACACTATGGCAGAGAGACCTGGGGAGTGAGCCAGCAAGGTAAGGGGGTGTGGCAGCTGTACCCCCAGGCCCCCAGGCCTTTTCTCAGGTGGAAATGAGGCGTTGAGGGTCCTGAGATCTGCCTGCTTACGATTCCTATGATGGCTGACGTGTAAAGCTGACAGGAGGCTGGTGTGGGCCCAGGCAGGAGGCTCAGGCCAGGCCCAAGGCCCGGTGTGGCCCCTCAGGGGTGGCCAGAGGGGAGGCGCCAGTGGTCAGCTATGGCCACAATTTTGAAGGTGGAGCCCACGGAAGCTCCGGGCAGACTGAGTGGTTTCTCCAGGGAATGTGGACCCAGGGATTATTTCTGCCTCAGAGAGATGGGCACGGCCCCGAGGCCGGAGCTGGGAGGGAGGAAGGGTTCCCTCTCCACCTGCAGGTTCACCAGCCGCGTGGGAGCCGCTGGGAGCCGGAGGGGGCACTGGGTGAGGGTGAGGCGGGAAGTCGCTCAGCCCACACCGTGTGGCTTCTGGCAGGAAACACACTGGGGAGAAGCCCTTCGAGTGCCCCAAGTGTGGGAAGTGCTACTTTCGGAAGGAGAACCTCCTGGAGCAC